GCTTACGACTCATTTTCAAACTCTGCAAAATAAGGATAAATTGAGTACACTTGTGGCCGCTGTACCCACATTGGAGCAGTCGTGTTTTGAGTACAACAAATACTTACATTCTTTATATACGTTACTGCAAAATTTTGTAAATGATTGATTACTTATTGAATTTGGTTACAATCAAAAATGATGATTGCATTTATGTACATATTATTACAATTAAAAAACAGTACCTCCACGCGCGTCTTGATAAGAAATTTCAACAAATAAGTAAACAAAAATCACAACTAATAGATAAATCTTTTTATTGTATATTTAATCACTGCACTTCTAACTACTCAAAACTGAAATTAAATTTGCACTGGTGTCAACACTTTTTTTCCTACCCTCAAAAATTATGTGTTCCCAAATTGGCACGGTGACCATTACCGTACCTTGTATGTTGCCAGCCACGTTTCTTTGTCTTTGCCCCAAGTACTGCCGGCTAGCGACTTGAGGACCTTGTTGCGACTCTGTACTTTGTTGGCAATAGCGGTTGCGTGCGCAGAGAAGGAGAGCAGACTGTCGAAGTTACTCGGAGTATTTTGGGGTTATTCACCGTCGGAATTGGTGTATCATCGACGTGAATTCCCAGCGGTATCCTGACCTCCTTCTCCAGGTGGTGAACAAGGTCGCAGAGGATTTCGTAGGGAAGAGAGTTACGCTCCTTGCAGTGAAGAAGCGAGAAAGCTCGGAGAGATACCCGTTAACTTTCGAACACAAGTCATCAATTCCATCCCCAGTCACCATGATCGAGCAATCGTCGGCGTAAGAGACAATCGAGACTCCCTCTGGTGGTTGAGGGAGCTTTGAAATATAAAAGTTAAACAGTAGCGGGGAAAGGACACCACCCTGTGGAACCCCCTGTTTTATTTTTCTGAGTTTGCTCGATTTGTCTCTTAAACATTAAACATTAACAGATAATTTGCCGACCACCGTTTGAGCCTCTGTGGGAGAGGAAGCCTCTATATCTTCTAGTAGCGTGGAGTGGCTGACGGTGCCAAACGCCTTTAACAGGTCCAACGCTGCTAGAATAGTTCTCTCGCAGGGACGGTTACGGTTAAGGCCACGTGTTATCTGAGTGTTTATGGCGTTAAGTGCTGTTGTTGTACTGTGCATTTTTATGCTTCGCTGGGGTCAGGTGGTTCGTGAAATACGGGAGCAGCAAGGCCTCTAGTGTCTTCGCTACCGGGGAAAGGAGTGTTATTGGTCGATAAGAATCACCTTTGCTGGCTGCTTTCCCCGGTTTGAGCAGAGGGACCACTCTCCCCACCTTCCAGATGTGTGGGATGAGAGTGGCCATTGACATATTGGGGACCTCCGTTAGGTACGCTACTCCCGCAGGACCGAAATTTTTCAGCATCAACATGCATATTCCGTCGGGACCCATGGCTTTGGGGGCTTTCGTCCTCCCGGTGGCCACATGAACTTCACCGCAAGTGAAAGCAAGGGGGGCACAAGTTGTTGGCAGTTTGTGCAGTCTTCTGGTCACGCTTGGCTTTGTCCACCGGAGGATGCATAGCTTGCGCATCGCTCCGGGTCCGACGAAGCATGGTCGCCGAAAGAAATTTCGAGCCTGTCGTCGTGCTTCGTCAGATTGGACAGTGACCTCACGGTTGACCAAAGCTTACTCACACCAGAGGTGTCAGGGCATTACTATCCGGTCAGGCGATGTTGAGCTCGAAATATTTAATGTGTGCATACCCCCTGTCACTTGCGGCCCGCAAGATATCACCCTGTTATAGATGCGCTCCTCGGAGGTGAAAACCGTATGGTATTAGGTGACTTTAATGCGCACCACGATCTTTGGCACTCAACCCTGTCAAACGATCGTAGGGGAACAGACTTGGCTGAGCAGATAGATGATTCGACATTCTGCACAATGAACGACGACGCACCCACCAGGATTATGGGCAGCTGCTGCAGCTCGCCAGACAACAATAGTCAGCGCTGGTCTGATAAAAAGCATATCATGGCGACCTATGCTGACTTGCAGTGCACGACACAGAAGAAGAGTTATAAAATTGGAAAGGGAAAAGTTCTCGTTAAGATTAGAAAATGCAAATAAGGCAAATGCGCAAATTGAATATACCGATGAAGCAATTG